TGTGACTCAAAGTTTTGTCCTTCAGCTGACACAGAAAGAAATTTGTATCATTTTTCATTAGATCCTATCTCCAGATGTACAGCATATTCCTAAGGCCTGGAGACAAAATTCATGGATACAGTTGATCAGCCTGGAATGCTTCAGTTTGGAATGCAGAGCCTGGAACACACCGCTTCTATCATTTCTAGTTCCTTTTTTACAAGTACCATGCACTCTTTGGATAATTTCTTTCAATACCTCTGCAACATTAAGGCTTAAGCACTACTGCAACTTTAATATTTACAATACATGCAGGCTCAGGTTGTTTGCTGGTCTCCGTCAACTCCCACTTCTTGTCAGTATAGGCGTATTAACTCCCGCTCCGTCTCCCGCTTTTATCCGTCAACTCCCGCTCCTGCTCCCGCTCTGTCTCCCGCTTTTATCTGGTCCCTTTATGGATAGTTGAGGGGTGCAAGAACTCTCTGGCTCTCATTCTTTATCTGTAAATTCACTGGTTGTACTGTAGGAGCATTTCATGTCATATTAAAGTCTGTGTCGCTATCCAGTACTTGCAGAGAGGAATCATCCCATTTAGGACTCATTTGTGGCTTGTCACCATTTCTATCCTCTCTTGACAGTTTTATTTGATATTCATAATTATGAAAAACATAATTGGCGTTGTTGCTACAGCTATTATTGTTTTTATCACTACATTACATTTGTATACATGATGCTTTATGTATTTACAGATAACAGTATTATACATAATACATACACGATAATTTTAAACTGTCTGGCCGTTAACAAAGACAACTGTTGTAATTAACATTTATATTAACATTAAAAATCATGCAATGATGGTAGCGTTTTACTTCATACTAGACGTCACTATTAAGAGCTAGTTACTTGATGCACAGCTATTACAGCACACTTATGATCCTCGGAGTGATTCTTAGATGTGAACGAAGACCAATCCTATAGTTTTAAGATGAGAAAAGATGGCCATATCATAGATATACGACTATGGCCATATCATCAACACTCCAGCTGCAACAGGACAACTGAGTGAGTAATTCCACCGTACCTTGTCCTGATGAACTGAGACTAACTCTGATGATAGACATTAGTTATAGGACTCAGGTGAATACACTTCTGTCTTCATAGCAATGGAGGGGCAAGCGCCCTGGCTCCTGGAAGCAAAATTTACCAAAACGGGAATTGCCAAAGGGTGAGAATAGGCCTATGAAAAACTGCTTAAAAAGCCAAAGCAACAACCAAAGAGCTTACAGGAGAAATAAAAAGAGTGTGATGAAACAAAAAGAGAGCTCAAAGTGGCTCCTAAAGTAAGGATGACTTGATAAAAGAAGAAAATGTTCAGCCTGCCTGTTCACCAAAAGATCCGCCATCTTACTCCAGTTGAGAGGTGCGCGTTAATTAGAACGATCGATGCACAAGGTCCATTACTTCCGTATGGCAAAATGGCTACTTTGCCATTCACTTGTACAGCACTATAAACTCTTCTGGCAGGCTTCCTTAACTATGAGCATGGCTAATTCATGCTGCTTTTTCATTTGCCTAGATCCAGGGGTGCAAAGGAAGCAAAAAGTACTCGGATAGAGAACCAGTGAAGCGGCTGAAGTGAACACAGTCTTGTCTTGTTACTCCTATAATTATTGCTATCGCTACTTTTCTGCTTACTACTGCTATAATTGTACTCCTTTTCTGCCTTGTGCTGTATGAAAGAAGCTGTGGAAGAAGCAACTTTACTGCTGTAAACGAAAACGAATGAGGCTCATTAATTTTTGCCATACAAAAGTAATTATGACGTCAAAAAGTGACGTCACTGCAACCGCTCTAGCTATATACTTAGCACCAACTGGTCTATACA